ACATATATATACACATACATATATATGTGTGTGTGTGTGTGTATATATGTATATATATATAAAAGTTGCCATGTCATTTGGAATAGGAGTCCTGGTGGCACAATGATGAAGTGCTTGGCTGCTAACCAAAAGGTTGGCGGTTCGAACCTTCCAGTGGCTCCATAGGAGGAAAACCCGGTGATGTGCTCACATAAACGGTACAACCTAGAAAGTCCTGTGGAATTGACAGGACTGTGGAAAGTCGGAATTGACTCAATGGCACCTGACAACAGCATCACATCTTTAAGAACGGGTGTTAATAATCACATCTTTAAGAGCAGGTGTTAATATGCTGTTGTTTGTAAAATGCACCTGTATGGATGGCATTGGACTTAAAATTAGAGTGGAGGGGAATCTGCTGGATCCAGAAGAAAACCTGCCATTTTCCTCAAGATTCAAAGGCTTGACACTGTTATTAGAATCACAACAGCACCTGTTTCTATGGGGGCTTTTCTGTTCCCCTGCAGTTGCTGTCTTTTGCCCCACAGTCGCAGTGGTCCTACACCTGCATTTCCCCAAGAGTCTCTATCTCTCCAGCCTCCACTTTTGAGAGAAGGGGCATGAATTTTCCCCCAGGACAGTGTGTTCCTGGTCTTGCCCTTGGGCTCACCAGTCTGGCCTCTTAGGGACTGTGCCATGAGTGGTCCCACTGGTGGATGGAGCAGCACAGTCATCTGTCCACATGCTGATTCTCTTGCCTCCTGAGATGCCCTTTCCAGGGCTGCTGCCCAGCCTTCAGCCAGCGTGGTACCATTTGTCCTGGCAGGCACTCATGGGTGGTAAATAAGCCCAGCAAAGGCCTGAGGACTATGATTCTCTAATGCCAAAATGCAGAAAGGACATGGAGGCGGTGCCCTCTGACCTCCTCTAACTTCATGAAGAGGAGAGAGAAGCAGCCCAAAGCTGATTGCCATTAAGACAGAAGTCAGACATGGCACCATCCTCCAGCCTTCTTTCAAATTCTGACATCAACCATCCCTCCCAGGGCACTCTACTTCTCCACTAGGTTCAATACTTTGTTGCATTGGCCACACAGGGCTCACAGACAATACTCATGATTATGGGGTTTATTAGGGAAGTAACAGGCAACAGTTGGGGATCAGGAATGTTCAGGATACAATTCTTTGATCAGGACAGTCTCCCCTTGGCCATACCTGTGAGCATGCCTCTTTGATCTTGGCCTCTTGACCTGACTTCTGCCCTGCTCAGGCAAGTGTTACAAAGCTCTTTTTAGCTCTGCCAATAGGTACATCTAGGTGCATCTCACTCCACCAGCAAGCCTGCTGCCCAAAGGCACTCGGCTTTCTCACTCCGTGGGCTGGCAAGCCTGCCACTCTGTCTCATGTGGAGAACCAAGACCATGGCTAGGAGAGTCATACCAAGTAGTTCATTGCACTGAAGCAAAGGAAAGTCACCTTGGAGGGGCCACATTGTGCAGGAACCTGAGACCAGGCTGATCTTACCCAATGTGGAGGAGTGTCGGTCAGACAGAAGCCTATGGAAATAAGAGGTTCATAGATATCAATGCCCTAGAATTTTTTAGGGACCTTCCCACCTAATGAATAACATGCTTCGGCCGTAGCAGAGCAATGGTCCCTTGAAGACACTGTGAGAGATCTGTGCTGTGTAAATGTCTTCATCTCTCAGTG